AGCATTTCCAAGTACTGAGTGAAATGCATCGAAAGGGCAAGTCACAACAATATCGCTACTTCGCCCCGCAACTGCCAGGGCCTTCGGAACCTTCTTCTGCTGAAGCAGTCGGGGATAACGACAATGGTGTAAAAGATGCAGTCTACAGGGGCGATTCGCATGCAGAATCGATCAGTCTTTTCCCGGCTCCTTCTATCCCGCCGGATACTGTTCGCGCTGTCGGTGGTCTGACAGCACTTGCGCAAGGCCCTGGCAAGGGAGCGACGGTGAGTGGTTCAAAACGGAAAGCCGAGGTTCTGGATATCTCCCATGGAAGCGAACCTCGAGATCTCGGATCTCGTCGGGGAAAGCGGGCGAGGCTGGCATCGCTGGCGTATCAAGAAGGCCTAGACGAAGAGCACAACGTTCCGCCAGCGATCAGCCATGATTCCAACCCTGAATCGTCTTTGAGTATGTCCACTCGTGGAAGCACGGGAAGAAGAAAGGCAGTCAGCACAGAGCTTGACTCTATGATTGTCAAACTCAAGGTCAGGCCGGAAGCGTTGTCGGACGTTATGCAGGCTCTGGCAGGAGGCGCAAAGGGCGAAAACAGAGTCGATCCAGCACCGGCTGAGATCGGTTTCCAAGACAAAGTGGAGGCTCGCAGTTCGCAGAGGAGAGATGCTGGTTCACGTCTTAAATCAAGACATGATGCATCTGGATATCTAAAATCGGCCGAGGACACCGGAGCTCCCGACGACACACAAGAATCGATTGTGGTCGCCCATGAGGACCAGGATCGAAACGCTGAGGAAAACTCCTTGCAGCTCGTAAACAAAACCGCTGCTCAAGAAACAACAAGACGCGGAGGGCGACGTGGAAAGAAGAAAGGAGCAGAAAAGAAGACACGGAGCGTCTTTAAATGCGAAAAGTGTGGAGGAACTTGGAAGAATGACGTTGGCATCAAGTACCATCTCGAGAAGTCAAAAACGACATGCAATCCGAATTACGTTCCACCAGCGACAGCTCCGCCAGAATTGGTGGACAGAATATCTACTTCCGCAAAGCTAGTGACACCTCGTCCGACTAGACATCGCCAAGTCACAACGCCCGCCATCGATGAAGCGGACGAAATAGTGCCCTCGCCAACGGGCGGTCTTACACTGGGCGCTGCTGCCCCTGATGCGGCAGCAGCCGGCCTGGATGACTCAAACGATGTGGATATCCTGATCTCCGATGGCAACACTGCTACTCGAAGAAGGAATACGAGGACCTCACGGCCTAGATGGTCTCATGCATCTTCTGAGGCGAGATTTGGGGTCAGAAACCGCATCGGCGGCCAACGCCAACCGTGCAAATCATCCTCGCTTCGGCCACCGATTTCTGTTGTCAGATCTTCGATGAGTGGCCTTATCGACGACACAGACGGTACCGTCAGAGACATGCCTGCAGAACACGCCCCAATCCAGCCGTCCTTCAAGCGCCTGCGAGTTGAGGAAACAACAACAACAACGAGCGCTGCTGACCGTCGCGGCAGTCCATCAACCAGTTTTGTCGAGGCTGGTGAAGCCCTTTTACCAACATGTGCACAAGAGCGCGGCAGCGGAGGGCAAATCAACTCTAAGTCGAATACATCAAGGGCAGAAACATCATCCAGTGTTACACTCGGCTTATCAAACGCAGAGGTAGTGCGAACTAGTATCGGCATCAAAGGTGCGTTGGCAGTCTCCGGGCAGGATCTCATGGAGAAAATTCTCATGCACATCCTGCATGCCAACGGTGGAGTCTTCCCTGGCGGTTGCTCCGTTTGGTATGCCGTTCTCGCAACGTGGGAAGTAGCTTTCCCGGGCGAACCCACACCGGCTCACCAGAGCTACAAAGATGCCTTGGCCCGATTGGCCAAGAGAAAACAGATCGTTGTCAGTACACATGCCTTCAAGGATTCTAGAGGTATGATGGCAAATTACCAATTACTGAGGGTCCCCGGGGTTGAGGCATCTTCACCAGCTGGCGCGGCCTTGAAAGCAAAGATCACTGCAGCGCACCCCAAGGCCTATACACCCCTGGCGTTCACTCCCAAGACCGGGCTCCATGATGAAGACAGCAACAACGTCCAGCCAGTTTTCTCGAGCCGGCGAAAACTTGTCCAGGGAATCGAGGTTCTTGATGCGCCTTTTTATGCTAAGAAAGCCGCAAATGAACGGCCACTCACCCCTCCTGAGGGTACCAATTTGACCCCACGGAAACGGAAGAGGAGAATGGTGACGAAGGAGCAAATTACACACGCCGAGGATGACGGCCCTGATGGTACACGACGTCGGGATATTTTCCGATTTTTTATGGACGGCAACGACGGAGCTCACAACGGACTAACGCGGTCAAATTCGATGGAAGCTGGAAGAAGCGGCTTCGTAACCTCTTTGGTGTTCCTTAAACCCAACACTTATCTCGGCCAAGATGTGCCAGAGGAAGTCAGACATTCCCTGTTACCACCCGACGGCCCAACTACCGAGCCAACATACCCGTCGGCGCCAGCCAAGGACGATGCAGCCAATAACTTCAGCGTCAGTTTCACTGACGCCACCGTTATCGTAGGCCAAAGGGGCGTCTGGCCGGCGATTGACGACAGTTTATTCGACGAAGACTGCAGCTTAACAACACTAGGTTGGATGCCGGATTCTCGATGGTTCCTGAAGCAGAATCTACCGCAAAACTTGGCTGAGATGGTAAAATGGCGCGGCCGCCCGCGGTCCAAGTTTCCAAGCAGCAGCCAGTATCAGGAGTTTTCTGAGCAAGTCGATGCCTGCTTCGACTGGGAGTTGTCGACCGAGGGTATGAAGCTCATGTTGGCCGAGTCAATCGTGCCGGAGCACATCTTCATCAATCTTGGCGTTAGCGACCTGCCAGGCAAATGGGTGAATCCTCCTCTTGACTGGAATTCCGCTAATCAATTGAGTGCGTCTCTATTATTCGACGTGCGCTTGTCGGACTTCACTACCACTGCGGCTGATCATCTATGGGGCGGCGACCTTGGCCGTCAGCGGCGACGCAAGCGACGACAAAAGCAACCCATCACCGACACAAAGGACCTTGTAGTGGGTATAGATCTGAAGATCAGGTCGCTCATAACACTGCCAAAGGATGCGGATCTGCGAGAGGCATCCAAGCGGAACAACGGACTGGATGAGACCAACGAAACCATATTGATAGCGGCGTTCGTTGTGACTAGGACATTACTAGGCGGCGCCGACAGGGTCATCGAATGGGGCTTGATGATGACGTTGTTCCCGGACATGGCTCTCAGTGCTATGCGGCGATTCTGGTCCAAAGCTCGGAAGGACCGACGGACGTTCATTAGTCAACTCACAGAACGATTCCAGATTCGATTCATTCCCGCCTACGAGAACAAGGAGTTCCCCGCGATTGACTTTGATAACTACGTCAACTACGATTGGGTCCGTCTGATCAGATGGACCGCTGGGCTCATCGAGGACTCCGTGGAGCTTCCTGCGAGCAAAAATGCCCTGGTTCAAGGATATTCTCTCGCACCAGCCTGGGCGGACATTGATAATTGGCGTGAAGATTACTACAATTTTCAGATGTCTGTCTTCAACAGATTTGAAGCCGCTACCTCGCGCCCGGCTACTTCCCTCATCGATGAAGGCAGCGGATCTGCCCCAAATACGAAAGCGAAAGACCTGGTTACAGCCATGTCCTGGCTTCGCTCTCTCTGCTACACGCCGCGCGATAGATACGCACCACAAGATATAAGGAAGAAAATGGCCAGCATAGGAGGCGGGGACGAGGATCGCATTCAGAATTTGCTTGAGCAAGCGGTTGAGACCCTCCAAGGCCAGGGCATCATTACGGACAGCAAGCTGAAGGCACTCGAGGGAAGGCCATACCGCCTTACTGAGACCTTTCTTCCTCGGTTGATAAAGTGGACGCATCAGCACAAGTTCGTTGACGCCACCCGCTTCAAGTCGCGACTTGATGTCAGCTTTCGACGAGGCGAAAAGATTCGTATTCCTTATGTTCTCAGAGACGGTGAAGTTATGGCGATGGTGAACCTGCAGGCGAATGGGAGAGTGGCCGTTACGACAGTCGATGTCCCGAGCATTCCTCTGGGATTTGATCCCGGCAACTATGAAAGCAGAAAGTACCCGAAGTCGTATTATAACTTCGGCCTTGAGATCGCTCCCACACAAGATTATCTGTACGATGATGATTTAGAGGTTATCGAACGGGCAAGAAGCAACAGGCCCCCACGAGAAAACCAGAACCGAGCCATACCATTGTGGTCTGACTTTTTTGGGGAGCTCAATATAGAACGCTGGTCACAGGTCCTCGGTGCAGTCGCTTTCGTCATAGCCACGCGCGGCCCGCTGGACGTCCCGTCTGTTTGCGCAGTTTTGAAACCCTACCTTCAAGAATTTGAGGTTGAAATGGTTTTCGATTGGGGCCGACACAACGGGGTGTTAAAGCACATGGCACACGGGACGAGCTGCACAGTGGACGAGTGGTGGTGGCTGCTTGTCGGGAGGCAGCGAGGCATTGCGTTATGAAGACTTGTTTTACAACAATTTCTCAGTCACTTTGGGGACAGGGTGCCTATGCATCGAACTACAATGAAGCAAAGGGCAAGACACTTGGGGATCACAGAATTCAAGTCCAGGACAGCTGAGAAATTGAAACTGTGGTTAAGAATCCTGGCAGAGATACTCGCCGTATTCATTCGCGTATGAAAATCGATGCAACCTGCATTCGTAGAGCAAGTGGAAAATACGCTAATAGACAGTTATCTGCCTCTGTATTCAATCCAAGCACTTCGCATGTGCCTTTCTGCCACCGTGTCTCTGTGTCGTAGACCCATCCATCAGCATATGAACATCCGACCCAAATGTCCCTGGAAGAGCATCAGTGTCAATAAGTTGCCCATCATAGCCTCCGCACGTCTAAGTAAGTAACGGATGAGCTGAAACCCACTGAAAATTACCATCTGTTTGTACAGAACTGACTGGCTAAAAGTCCAGGATTACTTTGAGAATCATCGCTAGAAGCAACACAACAAGTGCAACGATGGCCCGGTCCACCCACAGCGGTACCCCTTCGTCGTGCGGGCGTTGGTGAGCTTGCCGAACGTTCGGTGCCGGAGGCAGGGACACTGTTCTTGTTGGGTTCAATATCGATGGGGAGGGCCCGTTTGATCCCGCTGCGATGTCGGGCGCTGGTACTTGTGATATGGGCACTGGACTTGTTTCCGGCCCACCCACTTTGGGTGCAGTGCGGACGAAACCCTCGGCGAGCTCCGCACTCTCAGCATCACCATCGTCGTGCCGTGGGGTTTCCTGCGCGTGGTGTTGTCTTTCGGCCAGCTTGCCCATTTCATCTTTCCATCCCATCTTCAACTCTGAGGGTATTTCGACATCAGAGGATTCTGATGTGACGGCGATGGATTTGGCACTCTCCTCGCATTCCTGTATAATCTCGAGATTGGTTTTAGCGCATGTTGGGCACTTGAATGTCTGGGATGCCGTCGCGTGACGCCTTCGCACAGCGTCGCTTGTTTCGAGACCACCTAGTTGGCCTCGAGGATCTGTCTCCATAAAGCTGCGCAACCTGGTTGGTAGTTAGTAAAGGCGGCCAAGTCAAGGGCATTATGACGAGCGACGTACGCAACCAACGCCGTCCTTACGCCCCAGGCGGGCTGCCATGTTTCCTCGTGATGACCGCTGATGCTGAGGCAGATCTCGCGGTTCGTCTCGAAACGGCCGCTCGGAGTAAGAAATCGAAAGCTGGGCGGACGGAGCGGATATGTGGGTGGCAGGACGATTCGACCGTGGTAGATTCCATCGCTATAGGAAGAATTCGGGGGCCCGCGGAAGGTAAAGTGCCATTCGAATAGATCTGATTCTAGCGGGGTTGCCGTGTAATCTGGCGACGGCGAGTTTGAAAGTTCCTGTGCTTCGCGAACTGGACGCGAAAAAATCAGATAATGACTGATAGACGAGCAGGAGGGCAGAAAACTCTTACGTATGCGCCGTATCGTGGGCGACTTGGAGTTAAATTTGGGAGTTGCCATGTCGGCTATCTAGTTGGATTGACACTTCGAGGTGACCAGTGCTGTGTTCAATCGTTTCGGCGACAGCAGGGTCCCAGAAAAGTGTGTCTGATAGGGTAATCAGAAAATTCGATCAGGAGAAGGATATAGGTGGATTGGCTGCTGCCTTCTGGTCAATGTAGAGGTTTATTGGGAATGGTGCTGGAGGATAGGTGGCTCGAATTACGTATGAAGTCTACGTAGGCGAGGTAGGTAAGGTGCGTTGATGTTGCGATACGGGGACTTATCGGTTCAACGTCCCGCTAGAAATGTTGCTACGGGGCCGTCTCTTTGTGCCATTGTGCAGCACTCAAAGAGTTCTGTGTCCACTCTGCTCCAGGGGCTGTCAATGGTTTGAGACGGTAGGGGCCAGCCAACACCCGGGCCAGTGTCCCGGCCTGGAGAAGCCCCACCGGGCACAAAGGCGGGGCTGCGTATCAGCGGTGTTTAGATATGCACCTAGGTTTCCAGGCAGGCACATGAGGCACCAACCTGCAATTAAGGGAGACACCTAATCGATACAGATTGATTCGTCGTCTCCCAGCTCAGCCCCAATTACCTAAACAGCCAAGGCAGAGCTCCACACAGCGCTCCCGGTCTTGTATGGTGATGCTTCAACGTCGTTCGTCCTACCAGTATTTTCAGTCACCTCCAGCTGCTCTCCCCCGTCCCTTCCCCAACTCCGCGTGCGAAGAGGAACCGGCGATATTCGAGGTTGGTATGTTCATGTCGTTTTCGTCAATTGGTTCTATGACAGCTTCTAATTGAACTCCTCAGAAGATCCCGTCTACCCCGACCGACGCGCCTTGCCGCATTCTCACGATGTATCCCGGCCCCAAGCCTCCCACGCCTCACGTCCCGGGCATTTACCGCTATACAGCGACTGCTCTGGGTGCTGGCATGTGGTTCTTTGTGCGTTGTCTCGTCACGATATGACGCTCGAGAAACAGACATGCTGACTATTTGCCATTGGTAGCTGATGTATCGCGCGAAAAAGGATGGTGTGTTCATGCCCTTGGTGATGCGTGCAGTTGAATTCATTGTAGCTGACAATCGTGTGCAGGTCCCGTTTTGCTGGGCTGGAAGCATCCCTGGGATCACTGATCCTCACGTTTTGACACGGTGCCGTGGAGGGAATCGACGTTGGAGCGAAATAAGCATCACCAGCCATGGGTTGATCAAGATTTGCCGGACCGAAGCCAACAAAGAAGATATGGCTATTCTATGAATATGACAGATTTACACGTGCGTGTCCAGTGGAATGATCAGTTTGGTTTCTCGAACAGATAGTGCGCAATGCCCCAGATGTCGCCGCCTTGATAGGCAAACAGCTCGGAACACGCCATGTAAAATATCTGCCACCGGTTATACCATACACTGGCATCCTGCTCTCCGTAGGTCTCCACCAAGTGCGGCCAGATCTCCTTCTTGTGTGCAAGCATCTTGCTCAGCCAATCCTATTGCAAAGACGTCAGGTCGCTCGGTGCGTTCAGGGACAAGCATTGAAAAGGGGAAATTGATGTACCTCACACGTTTTGGAGTAATGCTGGCCGTTCACCCACCACTGCCTCTGGATTTTGAGATCATGCTGGAAGTACAGAAGCAGATCAACAGACGGCATGGTGCCTCCGGTGAAGAAATGCGTTGTCATCCAACCCTCCTCGCTGCGTTGCCTATGTCAGTAATGGTATTCCTCACCAGGAAAATACTCAACTTACTAGTCATACGGCGTGGTCTTATGTGCAAAAATATGCACGAAAAGCTTGCCGCCTCCTTTCAAAGCCCTGCTGACCTTGGCCATCAACAACTCATAGTTTTTCATGTGCTCAAAAAGCTTGTGCTCATCAGTAGCGATTCAACTGTGCCCGTTTGGGACGCTACGCACCTCGATGGACACGACTCTGTCGAAGGACTCAGGCTCAAATTCATAGTCGACAGCGTTGCCTGTGATTACTGTGAGATTGGCCAGACCCTTCTCCTTGGCCTTTCCATCAATGTATTCCTTTTGCGTCTTAGAGTTAGAGAACGCAGTGACCTTGGAGTTAGGAAGGACCTCTGCAAAATAAAGCGCGCCCGACCCCCAGCCGCAGCTACGCAGAGTGAGTTAGCCCAGGCATGACTGTTCCGTCAAGAAAGGGGAAGGAGTGAAGGCTCACCCGAGATCTAGAATGCTCATGCCGTCCTTCAACTCCGCCTTCTCCACATAAGTCTGCAGCATGGCAACTTCAGCCTGTGCCAGCGTCTCCCCGCCCTTGGGGTATAGACAGCATGAGTACTTCATACGAGGGCCCAAGCATGCGGCCAACACGCCGGTGCCGACTTCATAGTGCTGCTTGTTGGCAGCAGCAGTCTCGATGGCTATGGGCTGCGTGCGTAACTTCTCGATAAAGGTCATCTTACGCTCGTAATCCAGGCTGAGAGAGGTGCTTGCGATAGAATCGAGACGCTCCTGGAGCTGTCGTCGGATGCCAACTCTGATAACTGCATGGGGCAGGTAGCCGCTGTCGAGAATCCAGTCTGTTGAATCTCGTCAGAGACGTAGCTCCATTACGATGAAAGCAGCAGAAGCTTCCTCCTCTATCAGTGGTGGAGAAAGCACCATGGTCGACTTACCCATGTTCATCGTGATTTCACTAGGAGGAAATCGTCAATAGCTCGCAAGATGGTTTGAAGCCAAAACTGAGATAGTAGCTGTTTTCCGTCGAGCAAAAGATTCCGTGTCCTCAACTTTTTTTTTGGCTTGGGAGATGTTGCACTTCGAAACCAGATTCGAGTCCGAGCACAAAAGGGTGTGCGTCTGTTATCGTGGCATCTGTCAGCTTTTGTATTTTACAAACGCAACTTCACGATGTCGACCACTAGGAGCGCGATCGTTTGCAGGACAAGGTGAGTGGCACAGGACTTAATTGAATATCGGCGAGTGTGATTTTCACCAGCTACCAATTGTTTGGGGGGTTGGGAGATGCAGCGTGGCCGACTTTCCTGTCTCAGGCCGTCGTAGCGAAAACCCCGGCCCCTCGGAGCCGGGGTGATCCGCTTAGGCTAGCTCCAGTGTCGAGTGGAGCATCAATGACACGTCCATTTCTCCCTCAACTAAGCTGTGTTCATCATGTTGTTCTTGTCTACGAGGACGAACATCGCGAAAATAGCCTTCATCTCATGGTACTAATTTACTGACATATCAATGAGGCTGGTAGCGTGTATTTGCGCTAACCATGGTGGGTCATGCGAAGCCTTGATGAATGCTATCCTACACCTCCATGTTCTCCAAGATAATCTTGTACTGCTTCCTCTGCTTCGGCGTCTTCAGTACGTGTTTCTTGAAAACCCCAGCAGCCCTAGCCAATTTTTGGAAAACGTACTTTTCCGAGGTCAAAGCTGCAGCCAAGTAAACGGCACCAAGCAAGATCATGAAAAGCTCAAAGTCCAAATTGGTATTCGTCACTTGCATCAAACGCTTGACCGAATGCGCCGGAAAAAGAATCATGTAAAGAGTGATCAGGAGAGTCACCCCAACAGTCGCCAAGAAGGGCCCTTGCCAGAAAGATCAGCAAAATGCTAGTATGTGAGAGGTATCAAACATACAATTCTTCAATGCGCTCTCTCTGAAGGGAGGCCCTGCATTGAGGACCACGCCAGCTAAGATGTACTCAAAGCATGACACGAGAAATAATACGGTGTTTTCCGAGTTTTTAATGTTTGACTTCTCATGGTTGATGCGTGGTGGGATGTACCTATCAGCGTGATTAGTGGCACAACTAGACATCAGTGGCTTCCATGAACTTACCACGGTTGCTCTCGCACGGCTACATAGACCATGGCTTGCACGGCGATGCAAATAGCCATTTGTCCCAACAAGGGTATGAGAACCTTGCGGGATACAAGATCCGCCGTCGGTCGTTTCTGTGACAAAGTGGGAAAGGGCCCAGCCCAGCTCACTATTATTGCCAACATTAGCACGCGCCAAGCTGGATCCATCGTCATCGCGATGAACTTACTGAAGACAGCAATTGGTAGGATAAGAAGCAGATCGATGAAAAGAAACTATGGCTGTCTTAGTCTTGAATATAAGAGAAGGGATCATCATTGACTCACCTGGAAATCGCCGAGGTTTGACGCTTTCGCGTAGAGAAAGCTGACCGATGTGAACTGAATCGCCGAGTAGAGACTCATGTACTTGAAGCAGCTGAAGCTCGTTACGAGCGCAGCACGCCCTTCACTACACCGATGCGTCAGCAGTGTCCTTCCAGCGAGAAGAGTCTTGCGCATACCGGATGACCGTCGGTACACATCCGATGTCAAAGATACGAGATGTGAATGGAGCTGCAACGGAAGCTTCCGCTTCTGAGAGCGAAATGCCCACATCGGCAGCCTTCAGAGCGCCGCAATCATTTGCGCCGTCGCCGCAAAACCCACAGCAGTACCCAATGCCCTGTAGTTTCTCAACCAGTTCGTGCTTCTCGTCAGGCGACATGCGCGCAAAAACTCTGCCGCGAACGAGCATCTGTGACTGTCAGCAAGTTATTTGGTAAGAACGTCTATCGTAATCACCCACCCTTTGAAGAATTATTGGAGGTGCAAAGTCTACGATCCAGCGGAAAACCTCGCCAGTGACAGCCAGTGAGTAGTTGCGAATGTCGTTGATGTTGTACGCCAGCGATGCGTCGACATCTGCTGGTGGGGCCATGGGCTTCGCCATAGTAAGTAGGGGGAACATGGTGAAGGTCGCTCCGTGAGACTTACAAGTAGAGTCTGGTCACTTAAGTGGAAGTCGCTATTGTCGATGCTCTCCCATTGCAACCTCGCCTTGGGATCGCCAGCATGCCCTTCCATCTGTTAACTAGAATTCACCATGATACGGGTGCTTTACTCACCCTCAATGAATCTCGGGACGAAGCAGTGAGCAGTTTTGTTGACCAAGTTGCACTCACGGGCAACGCTGATGGCGGTCAGGATGTTGTCACCAGTCACCATTGTTGCGC